ATGTTATAAATCTCCCCAAAAGAAATATGAAAATAAGCCTTTCCTAAATGCCTTATTTTTCCTTCTCTTAGTGTTTCTGAGTGACAGTAAAGACTGATGGTCACAAAAACATACACATACGTGTAAGTCACCAACATCATCCCTGCAGGTCCTCCCTTCAAGGACCACCTTGTGCTGACTGGTGCACTTGTGGCCTGCACAGCAGATGTCTGGCTATGCAAAAGTGCTTAGAATGAGATCATTCAATAGAGTCAGAGTCCTAAGTCCTTCTGATGACTTATTAATGAACGTAGGTCAAAATCAAATGATTTTTGTTGTTGACACAACTGCAGGACTACCATTAGAAGCCCAAGTACATCTGAAGACAAAAATTATCAGATACATATTTGGTAGTGAACCTTTTAGTTTTTCAACTCAGATCCTAGTAGTAAGGTGATTTAAACTACTTTTTTGTTTGAGAATGAAGGATTTGTATGCCCTGGTCATTATTTGTATAAATGACTCCTAGACTATATAAACCAGAGTCTTAGCCTGGGGTTCAATTTAGACGCAGCATCGTGTTTAAATAGCAGACATTTCATGTTGAGATGATGGTCTGGAGAAAGGCACACCAGGTAACAGCTTTGTGACTAGCTTGGTTTCCTGAAGCGTATGAATGAAAGGCTCTTCTAGAAATAACTGTCAGTCATTAAACGCCATAAAAGAACCCTACCGCTCACTATGCAAGATCCCATAATCCACAGAAAAACTAAATTCTATAGGAAGAGACTCAAATACTGTTAACTTCGAACAAACTGAAACTGCACAAAATTAATTGCTGAATCCGAATCAGGTTACTGGAAGTGGAGGGGGGGGGGGAGAAACCTAGTTACTTCAGAATTATTGAAATTAAATGGAAATCTTCAACTAAAAAATCCATGTCTCCTAAGAGTAGATTTGTGAAGACCAGGGATCAAATAATTGGTTGATCCAAGTAACATGAACATTACCATTGTGGGCTCTGTGAGAAAAATGCTAGTTTTATTACACTCAGAATTTTCTAAGTCTCCGGTACTCTGGCTTTCTCAGCAACATGTGCAGTAGTGGGGTAGAATGATTTCCCAGAGGTCACCTCTTGATAAAATGTTCTGTTCTGAGTTAGAAGCTGAACAATGATTTATAGATAGAACTTACCTGGGTACCAGGAAGACCAAAAGTCATGTCTTACAGACAGCAACTTACATTTTGATAGGTAAGATAGATTAGCTTGACTTTCTAATACCAAAAAACCATTTTAAATAGTGAAACGTGGTATTGGCCATTCGTGTTATTCTAAAACTACTGGGTGAGTTCACAGTATCATTACATTTTGTCATAATTAGCTGACAGTCCTTCCACTTTGCATGGCTGTGACACTGGGCACCACCTTTCCACAAAGCAGCAGGGAGTTGTTTTAGACACTCCTCACCCATGGGGTGAAGGAAATAGATTATAAATGCATCTAAAATACAGCTTCCTCAGCTGGCACCACCTGAATGCCATGTCTCCAGCTGTAAGTAGCTTCATCAGTGGCCCTGACACCCACTGAAATCTTACTGAGTGTTCCAGGCCTGGAGAGACTTAGGAAGCCCTCGTGGGGGACCGCCTGATTCCTAGCAGGGGGGTAAGATCTAGGACTCCCCAAAAACTTTCTCCTCCTCACCCCTCACCTTTGTGAAAAAAAAAAAGGATATCCAGGACAGTTTATAAAATGACAGAGGCAATTGTGCCATTTAAACATTGGTTTGGTAGAAAGTAACAAGATGGATGAAAGGAAAGATAAAAAAGCAAGAATATGGGAAGAGCCACGGTGGTCACTCAGACGTGAGGAGGGGCATTCAGATGCCACACACCTCTCATGTGTAGAGCACACACAAGGAATGGGAGAACTAGTCCTTGTAAACCTACTTCCCACTTGACTCTCCAGAGGCTGACAAATTCCGCACTTCCTCCAGAATAGTGGAATGCCCCAAGATACATTTGGGAAACATGCCATGTTTCCAGGGTTTTCTTTCAGCAGATCCAATCTGAAGTGGGAAAGAAACTGAAGTGTGAGGTCCAAGTACAACAGGAATATACATTTTGATGCCAGAGCACCATGGGAAAACTGTGCTTTCATGTTTGGATTATGTGCAGGGTTTGATGCAGGAGATCCATCATCCTAGTCACACATCACAACATAGCAATATCATTTCTGGGCCTCTCATGTGTCATCAACCATTAGTTCTTTGGATCAACAAAGTTACTTTTACTTCTAAGGGCCTTGAATCAAATTTTGTTCTAAATCTTTACTTGGATGCTTGCAATAAGATGCTGAGCTATCTCTGAGATAATGGAACGGGATAACCTGTTCTTGCTAGTCTGCCCCTCCTTCACTAACTTAGTATAGGTACACACATATAGGGAGTACCAAAATACTCTTTTGAGTAAGGTTTAAATTTTGCAGAAGGGAGAGCTGATGCCAGAAGCAGCTCAGCACGGCCTTGTCACACACAGGCAGGCTCAGGTTTCAGACCCTGTTGATGGCTACCTGCTTCCTTTGCTTGACAACTCTCACAGAAAGCTCCAGCCAGCCAGTCAACTGGCTTCTACTCCAAATGCAAGTACGGGACAGTGTTGAAGACAGGGTGCACGGCGACATTTATTCACTCAACAAATGTTTACTGAGCACTTACATTCCAAGCACAGTTAAAAGTTGAGATGTGAAACTGAAGGGAAAATACAGTATACATTCCAATCTTTTTAAGAGTTGTGAATACCCACTCATGTCAGAGGCTGCATTCACAGAACAGAGCTAACAAAAGGACTGACGATCTTAAAAAATAGTAATATACTAACAGTACATGGACCTTGAAGATTAAGTGCAAGTCTACAATTCTTAAATAAAATCTCCTCAGGTACGACCATAATAAAATTAAAGGAGAGTTGCTGAATCTCAAAGTTAGAAGTTATCCCAGGAGCACATGAAGGACTGAGATTGGCAATGGAGGTGGTAATACACCCATAAGCATCTTTCCAGTATAGTGCATCACACCAGGGCGTGACCTTTGGAAGGGACCCCTAGGAAGGCCAAAGGACCAGGACTGAGCTTTGTGCCTGGGCTGGAGAAATGTCCCTTAGTGAACAGCCTCACACAAGAGAGGATAAATAGTATTTCCCCTAGGGCTGAATATAGTGATCTTGAAAAGGTATTTTTGGTGACTAAGAGAGGAAATTTAAAGAAATGAGGTTACTTCACACGTGGCTATGCTAGGAAGAAAAGCACTAAGTGTAGCCATCTTTACCATAGACAGACCACTCCAGAAAGAATGTATTGCAAGACAAGTTTCCTTCTTCGTAAAGGAGAATTGGAAATCCACTAGTGATTTCACATAAAATGGGACTTTGATCACTGATGTTTTGTGCTGTGTCTTCCTTGGACCTGGACCACAAGCAGCCTGGAGTAGGGACTGCATTCTCACTCACCTCTCCAGAGGCCACATACACTATGCAGCATGACGGTCTCAGTGAAGAAATACTCAGGTGAGTAAGATGGCTTGATTTGGGGAGGATTTTTTCCTTCCTTTCACTCATACTTGGAATTTTAATAAATCAGCATGAATTCCAGGTTGGATTTGACTACTGGTATATCACACAGTCTCAGAATTACTATACATTTTTATCTACCTTCTTAATCATCACCCTTTCTTACATCCTATGGGGAGAAATGTGAGAATATGGATAAAATGAAAACTAAAACATAATCAAAAGCCCAAATGTCATCACAAACACCAGCTCCAAACAAAAGCTTGTAATAGTCTGTGCCATGTTTCCTGTGATGAGAGAAACCACAAGTAATGGATGTGATAAGCATCACTAAAGACCTGAGTGCCAGGCATGTGTCATTTCTGAGGGGAAGACTTCCTAGTGTCCTATTTTCCTACAATTTGACCCTTAAAGCCATTAGTGTATAATATGGTAACAATCCTTCTTCAGTATATAGCTACTGGTATTTCTAGATTGTGTTTTAATTCCATTACCACAACTCCAGTTTGTATTCTTAAGACATTTTCATAGAGAAGGTACAAACTGAAAAACACAGGCAAGTCTACTGTGCATAAATACCTAAGGTACAGGCTTGTTGAAGATTTGGCAAGAAGGCTCATTTTGACAGAATTACCAAATTCTCAGCAAACCACCTGCTAGAGTGGGTGCAGCTCTCACCGTGTATGCTTCCGTAGCACACCTGCTTGTAGTAGGATGACAAATGAAAAAAAAACACCTGAGAAAGGGGAGTTGGTATAGTATCCAACTACATTTTTACAGTTCCTTTTAGATAAAATTTACATTTGTTTCTTTTCCAATTAGCTCTGTTCAATGCAGACTCAGAGAAAGAAAAGATAAAATGGTAATCTCCCTTAACACAAACTTTCTGGCCACACCTATCTACTCAAATGCGGAGTTCTACAGGGAAAAAGTATGCATTTCAAGTTAAAACTGTTATACCTTCTCACAACTCTTACTCCTATATCAGGTGCACCCTGCTGTCTGATTTGGTAACTCCTCTTTATTAGAAATTCCAGGATGGGGCCAAGAGCAGAGGTGATAAATCTTCAGGAGAGTAACAAGCAGATCAGGAAAAATTGGGCCTACTTAACTTCTCGGATTCGGGGCACTTGCATGGTCGTCTTGGCATTTACTCACTTAATGGTATATGCTTTGTTGCTGGAGCAGTGCCCACCATTAACACTTTCCTCGAATAGTAACAAGTCTCTCTGAAAAAGCAAATGCCTAAAAGGAGAATATAAAGCAAGCCTCATCCATTTTCCCTTTTGTTTCTCTCCATCCCAGGCTACTTTTATTATAAACTTCAAGAGCAACTGGTGGTGTCTTGCCTCAACTTAGAACCAAACACCAGTCTTACTGATGACAGACCACATGTGCACACCAAAATTTTCCAGTTCCTTACTTTTCCTCCTTTGGAAAAAAAAAAAAAACAAAAACAAAGAGAAACCCTACTTCTGGTAGCCAAATACTAAAGCCAGACAGAATACTGGTTTGGAGTAAGACATTTGCATGTCTGAGTTGCTAATCTACTTTCCTTCTGAGAATAAATGTGAATTTAGCTTCAGATGTTTTCACATTGTGCTTCCCCCACCAGTTTCAAGTTTTACTGTTCACCACCATCTGGAAACGAGTCGGTTTAAACACTGGACAATTTCTTAAAATGTCTTTTTAGCACTGAACAAAAGCATTACTAATATAAATTATCTCATTAAAATGAGTTTAAACCAACTTTCCAACTGCACTACTAGTCCTTTTCAATTTTATAGGTGAAACCATGCACAACACTGGGGTAAAAGCAGTTTTTAAAATTCAGGTTTCAAGTACAGCCAAGGCACTTTATCATTCAGTACCAACCTTGACAGAAGTTCTAAGTTAAATGAATCATTTCGAAATTTTTTGAACCAACTCAAATAGTGCTGCAAGAATATACCTGCAAATTTTTCTCATTTACACTCATTTTTCCCCACAGCGTTAATATCCAGTTAAGTAACCAATACACGTAGAACATAAGAAGGCACAATTTTCATCCTAGGACATACTCTGGAAAATTGTAAGTACTGTACAATACATTAAAAAGCACTATTATGAAGGTGTATGCCATGTATTTCACAATGGCACTTAATAAGAATAATCTAAATTTAATATGTATTTTCTGGTGGGATGTGGTTCCAAGCTTACCCATCACTAGCATTTGCTTTTCGATGTGGAATACTTACAGTAAAACTGTTAAAAATTCAACTAGTTTAACTGTACAAGACCACAAAGAGTATAAAACTGTAGCAGGTAGTTATAAAAAAAATCCCATCAGGAAAGAAACCCAAATGTCATCTAGCTTCTTTACCCAATACAAGTTCTTTCCTATATTGAGATACATTTCAGTGCCTGATATTTTCAATGAATTTAGAAACCATATTCATCTGATTTTCCAGGAGGAAAATGATTAAAACCTATTTTACATGATCCCTTTTGAGAAAGTTATCTTTGTTGTCTGAAGAGCCATACCATCATTCTGGACTAGAAGAAACAAGCATAGTGTCCACAGGAACCAGGGAGGAGAGGACATGATTAAAGCAAGACAGGAGAAGGAAACAGTAACAGCTCAAGTGTGACACTCAGTTAAGGGGTAGCGGGATGATGGATAAACAGGATGTGTTTGGTTTAAGGAGACAGCTGAACTATCTATTTTCAGCTGCCACGCCAGCTACCGTTCGAATGCATGTTTGAGCTTTCCAGGTAGTTTGATCTTTGAAGACCAGCAGACTTTTTATGAAGAGTTTTAATGTTGGCAAGTACCCAAAAAAGCAAAACAACACTACACAGACCAAACACATCTCTGGCCCCCCTAGGCTGTAACTGGTGCTATGGCTAAACTATACTTGTTAGCTACTTTCGCAGGTATGTGAAAAAAGTATACCATTGAGAAGGAAGAGCCCAGTAAATGAGTAGAAAGCAGGCAAAGGAAGCTGGAGAGTCTACAAATAAGGGAGACTAGGAAACTTAAGGTGCAAGGAGTTATAAAACTTGGATGTCAAGATGGAAAGACATCAAGCTACTGGGAACAATCTTCCTCTTAATTCTTCAATGCTGTTCAAGACATTGACGATATTAGTCCTTTTCACACAGCAGATGAGATCAAGATTGGGTCAACACTGTGTTTTTCTTGCTGTGCATGGTGTTGGAGATCAAACCCAGTGCATGGCAGGCACGCACTCTACCATATAAGTTACATCCTAGTCATCTTTCTTATATTTACAAACTACACAGAGATTATACCAGAGTCCCATAAAAGATAATTAGGAATAACTATCTTATACACACGGTCCAACTGAGAAACACTGTAGAGGCTTGTTTACTGATTTCTTTCTTTTAATCACTGAGATCAAATTAAATACTATGGCCATCTTCTCATTAAAGGATATCAGAACTCCAGAATGTCAGATTCTTTAATTTTTAAATAATGTTAAAAACACCAATAGAAGTCTAAAACGTGCATTATCCTAACGTTTTCTATTTTGGGGACAGGGGTAAGCAGCATTTTCAGCTAAAACTAGCTTGAGAGGATGAAGCATATGCATGCTTTCCAGTTGGTTTATTGCACGTCATGTAAAGTCATTTGCAATTTACATATGATGTGGGAACACCTATTCCAACTTAAATTTCCACAAGTAATATTCTAAATGTTTGAGACTTAGCACTATAATATAAACTGTAAAATGTATAGTTGGTAATCAAAACTTCTCAATAATAGCACTTTTAAAGAGGTATGTTGGGTGCTGCTATTTGCTACATCTACCACCCACTTCTATCTACCATGAATTAATCATTCCTCCTTTCTCCCAATCCTAAGCAATTAGTGCAGCAGAAACATTGAAAGTATTGTGATGCAGGTTAACCAGTTTGATTCAACATTGAATACTAGGTGTACATATAATTTTGTTATATCTATTCTATAAAAAAAGTCTTTCAATTTAATGTAAACCATTATTCTATGTACTTAAAAAATTTGTGAGGCCAAGAAGTTTTCTGAAAATAGTATTTTAGTATTTGCTAAGCAAATGGATTATGACTTGGTAGCATTTGTTGTTATCAAGGAGTAAGGACAGAGAACCCATTCCAGTCAAACAACAAAAAACCTTCAAACTATCACAGAAGATATCAAAAGGTTAAGACTTCATCAATAAAGAAATTCTTGATTTGATGATGAGCAATTTCATTTAAACTTACCATCTCCTTTGGTTGTACTCAAATATTCAGATTCTTTACACTCATGTAGTACTTAGAAAACCTTAGCCAACTACCTATCATGAGTGTGTACACACACTTCATTTTACTGACAGGGCTCCTCACTGATCCCCACATGGACTTTACCACACACAAAGCTACTGCACCAGGGTGTGTGTGAATTTTCATGCTGTGATTTTCTTGACATTTGGCCTAAAGAAAAATAAAAATGACCTAAGTACATTAATTTCACTAACCTTTTGACTGAAAGCTCACACCTATCAATCATTTTTATCAAGTCACAGTATCAAACAATAATGTGACTCTAGAATTTTCCCTTCCAGCAATTTGGCAGTTTCATGTTTAATACTATAGCAACCTGTATAAAAAGGGGATTTGCAGTACTATTTTCACCCTTCAAAAAGTAATCTTTTACAACATCTTCAATAGAAAAGGTGACAATATGACATAATTACACATGAAGTACCCTTAATTGAAAATGAGATGAGTCTACATTCATAGGCCTCAGAGAATATTAAATTGCATAGAAATCCTTCATCAATTTAAGTGACATGATACCATAACAACTTATTTATCAGCTTGACAGCAATCTTTAAATTTTTTCACAATATACGAACATGTTATGGCAATGAAAACTTTTTAGACAGTAGCATAGATCTAACTAACAATAACACACTGCCTGCTCTTCACATCAAATGACTATATTCATTTACATGATTCAAAAACACCATTTCAATGGTGATTAAATCAGGTATCATCATTCTGTGAATTTCATACATGCATTCACAAATATGAAAATACTTTTATAGGTTGGTTTGGTTATGACTTCCACTTCTTGTAATCTGTTTCAGCCCTAAATTTTAGAACTCCAAATAAATAATATACAAAAATAAGCCATTATTTACAAACTCAAAATTCATCCTGAGAATTTTTATTATTACAAAGAACTGTTTCACAGAGAAAGCAATTACCAATCTGTGACACAAAAACACACCTCAAGAGTTAAAGAAGTCATAATCAGAAATCTATTTACACAGGTTGTGGCCAGCCAAGAAAAGTGTGAGGATATTTAAAGAATCTTCTTAAATTTATTTGGATGCAGGCAATTAATATACATATGATTTTTCAAATTTCAGTGTTCTTCCTCCTTAAATTTCTTGTATCATCAGTATTAGCTACAGTGTTTTAGAAGTGAATGAGAGAGAAACCACCTGAGGAAAGCCCCACAGTGCACTGGGGATGTGTGGTGGTTATTCATGACTTACTTGTCATAAGAAACAGACCCAATCTGCTTCTGGCCTTACCTATGTGAGACGCCTCTAATCAGAGATGTTGGCTAAACAAGTTCAATACTTTATACAAAGGAACATGTCAAGTTGAAGCAAAAATCTTAATATAGGTAAAATATCAACAGATTTTTTGCTTTATAATGTGACCATAAAATTACCTACTTATAGACATTAAAAATAAGTGGTTCAACAATGAATCAAACTGGTTTCCCAAGATATGTATCATTACAATGCGTTTCTGTACTCTTTATGCTGTGAGCAGTCAGTGATTATTTTGGAGAAGGAAAAATAAGAAAGTGTGAAATTAGTAACGCAGATGCTGAAGGCAAGTGGCATAACTAGAATACCTCAAACAAATTCTACTTTGTTCCCATCTCTACTGGTACCCACCCCCCCAAAGTAAAAGGCCAGAATAACCAAAGCCATGTAACAGTAGTGTGCAGAGTTGTCAGCTAACAAACATAAAAAAAACAAGTCACACTATGTTATCTGTGGTCACGTTCTTCAGGGTTAGTCCAGTAACTCAAGATTTTACATTCTTTTGTCTTTATTTGTTTATTTTAATTAAACATGTAAAGGTTAATAAACAGACATAGTCCAGAGTTAGTAGGTTGGTATTATAACATTTATTAAAATAATGCTATGGGTTAATAGAAACAGCAAAGAACCAAAGAATTAAAATGCAAGCTATGTAAAATCCCAACTAAAACCCAAAGTGTCTAATATATTCATTCATTAGCTAACTAAAAGCCCAAGAAAGACAAGACACCCAATATAATAAAGTACTGCAAAACAATTGGCAATTTTCAGTTATCAAAATTGTGAATTTTGCATTTTGTATCCTTTTCTCAATCAAGAAAAAAATTCTTTTTGAATGTTATATAACATACATATAAAACAAGATAGAAAAATACATTATAAACTTGTAACAGTGGCTGTAGATACATTATCTTACATGTTTCTCATAGGCAATCGGTTGGTTATGGTACATACATGGCATGGAACTAAGATAATAAAGAAAAGACAAAAAACGCTGTCAGCTGCACGGAAACATACAAGCGACACTCCCATCTACCCACACTAAAAAAATTACATAATACTGTCAGAAAAAAAGTCTTAAAAACTACATACTTTAATAAGAAATAAATTCAATAAAGAATGATAATACTGAGAACCAAGGCATTCAGAGATTTCAAAGTCATGCTTTTTTTCAGTTGATCCAAAATTTTGTCAACTTAAGTTTTCAAAAGTTTGTTCAGAGCCAACATTACTCATCAATGTCACACGTTTATTGTTTCATACATTTACTTTCTTCCCTGTAAAAGACCTTTCATAAACATCTAAAACATCCAGGTGTAACAGAGTTGAGATGAGACTGGTTCAAACACTGGAACTGTTCTTACTGTCACCTCAAGAGTTTGAGTGTCGCAAATTTATTCTACCAATCAACCAAAGGAAAACTCAAAATGGCACAGTATATACTGTAAGTTAATGAAAACAACTGTATGTGTAACAGAAAGACACAGCAGAGGCACAGTAAATCAAAGCTAGCTGAGTACAAAACAATGACTGTCTATTGCATAGTAAATAAACTGACAACGATTCCAAGTGAGACAAGATGATGGCGAGGTCACCGTGAAGGTAACGACTGAGCTTCCTGCTGACCTTGACTGTGAAGCCATGAAGTATGGAAGAGGACATGAGTTGATGAGCTGGGAGTCCACCATCACTTGAGATTTGCCACATCTGGTACTGAACAGTTTAATGATTATTCACTCAAGTGTTAGATGCAGGCTTTGCACACAAATTGCTTCAACTACAAAACTGTTTCAACTTCATGAGAAAATGGAAGTTTAAACTGAAATGCAGTCGCATATCTATAGGCAGATCTAGATGCTACTTTCTCACATTCCTTTAACGTTGAAAAAAAAAAAAAAGGGCAAAAAAAAGGTGTGCATATGGGGCGATTACTAAAGCCAGCAAGAGATGGACTACACAAGTTATTCTGGTATGATATAAAGAAGTCTAATTAAATTCAGCTTGTTTAAAAACACTGTTTTCCAGGATGAAAAATCACAAATATTCATTTTTGTGAAAAAAATTTGCTAGGTATACTATTATCTCCAATTAGTTAAAAAGAAATTCCAATATATTATCTCTTCTCCAAATAAAATAAAGCTCTAATTCTGTCTGTAAACTGATGTTCAGATCTCACATAATTTGTATTTCAGAATCCTTTGGGCTAATGATACAAACTGTAATAACCAAAAATATTCAATTATGATTTCTAAAAGAATGATGTTTTAAAACTTCCTACTCATCACACGTAAGAAAAGTCATCAAATTTTTTCACAGTATCAGATTTGGCAAATTCGCGTCAAGGTAACGTGGCACAAATCATATAATTCAAACCATCAACTCATTTGTCTCCCCTCATATCTTCGTTCACATACTGGGCGACTGAGTAACATGCATTAACTTTTATTCTGAGGGAGGAGCTGATCTTACAGGACACTTGACTAAATGACCGTGAAGGAAAATAAGGCACTTTCTTTCTTTAGACTTATTCCAATACTTAAAAAATAAAAAAGAAAGACAAAAAGGCTCTTTTGGTCTTTTGTTTCTTGACAACCACCAGAAAAAATCATTTAATGAAATAAAGGGTTTTCTTTGTTCTTTTTCGTTTTTTTTTATAACACTTGAAAGTATAAAATGCTACATTTCCAAAAATATATATATTTTTTTCTGCACCAGCACCCTTGTATAGTAAAAGTATCTACTTTTTGTTCATTTGTTTCAATGCACTACACTTTATCTACAATTTCATTACATGTATACAGCAAATAGGCAAGCATGGCTTTTACATCCTTAATGATTTTTTTCTATACAGGGAGGTTTAAAAAAAATACTCAAACAGTTTGCCCAGTAATGTGACACATAATGCATGTACCTTGTTCTCATATATTTTTTTTAAGGAGGTGTAAAATAAATGTTTGGTAATTTTAACTCAGATATTCATCTTTTTAAAAAATAGTGTTGCAGTTTTGTTGTTTGTATTACTTTTCAAAACTCCTTTTTTCTTCTCTCATGGCACACTTTCTTCTAATACTTCAAATTTTGGCAGGCAATATAAAAAAGGCTGCAACTCTGCCCTTTGAGGGCACTGTAGTGACAAAACAGCATATCAAATTTTGAATACTTTTTGAAATCACTTCACCAATGACATCCCTGACCAAAGGTTCATGCATGATGCATCATCACACAGTACATTCAGAGAGAGCTTTTTAACTTCGCTATGAGAAGAAAAAGATTCCTAGAAGTCTCTCACAGTAACTGCCTCTGTCATCGAGTAGTTAAGGGCCGTCTGTCTCCCCTTCTTACCGTTCGCTTAGGGTGGGGCATTGAAAGATGACCAGTGCTGTGGGATGAATTGGGCCTTATTGCTTTACTACTATTCAGTGCAGTTTCTAGAACCACTTTCACCCAAACGGGGGGAGGGGGGGGGAAGCTGAGTTGGAGGACAATTTCTTTGTCTTTTGTTTGGTTAGATGGTAAGACGAACGGACAAGTGCCTCAGCTCGCTGCACTGACGACAGGCAAGCAAAGGCGATTACCAGTTAACTGATCAGCAGGCAGGCATGGTCAGGTCATCATTGGGTGAAGAGTTCAGAGGTCAGAAGGTCATAGGTTAGTTGCCGGTGGCGGCTGGGTGGTTAGAAACAAAAAACAAAACAAAAAAAAGAAAAGAAAAGATAGAGAAGAGATTAGTTTCAGCTAGTGACGGCTTAATGACAACATGAAAAACTAATCACAACTAATAAAAAAAAGCATGTTTTAATTCTGACAAACTGATTGACACCATCTACGGATTACAATAAAAATCATGACAATTTCATATCATGATTTGAACAAATGAAGAGGAGCCCACACCCACAAAAAAAAAAAAAAAAAACTGGTTAACAGGAAAAATGGAGATAAAGTACAACTGACAACTAATAGTTAGCAGCAGTCAATGAAAGAGATGGGAAACAATGGTGAACAGGTTTGGTATACAGAACCTCAACAGTCAGTGCAGGTGTCAGCATCTGACTGCCATTAAGCATTAGTATTGTCCCAGGTGCAAGCAACAAAGCAACTATTAATGATGGATGTGATTATTAATAACTGATGATTGGCAGAAATGAATCTAAAGATACTAAAATTTTTATGAACAATTTGGTTCAACATAAACTCTGGGCCAAACAAGGTTTCTTTTGTTCAATAAATGTTTATTGCTTTTTCAATTATTCTATTTACAAACAACACGGAGTTTCTTGGCCTCATGACACAAAGCAATACTGTAGTCTAGCAGTGTAGGTAACATCATGGGAACCAGAAAAAGGCCAGGCCTTTTGCAATGGCCAACACTTTCCAGTTGAAAATACTATTTTACACATATAGAACACTTATAAAATGCACTTGCATGTAAACACTGTAAAATCCTGCCATTTAAAATTCTATACCTCAAAGAGCTCTAAGTACATCAAAAATAGAAGTAATTTCTAATTGATACCAATAAGGCATTTTAAAACTACAAACAGCTTTCTTTATTCAATTTCAAAGCTAATACTCTGCAAATACAATAAAATCTGACATTTCATATACATTCCTGCTTTATATTTTTATATTTTAAAAGAAGCCACCTGTAAATACTATTTTCTTTTGCAAAATAACAAAAAAGAACAAAAAATTTTTAAAAATTACAGTAAAACATAAAGTAGTTCTCAAGTGGAAAAGTTATCATTCCCAATGTCCTTGAGTTGTTCCTTCCTTAATCCACCTGTCACATTCTGCTTCACCAAACTTGGTCCACTTAACAGTAGTATGATTTTTAAGACTCATTCAACAGCTTAATTATTTCTACTATATTCTGAGGTTTGACAGAATTTTCTGTACTGTTGCCATTGCGACAAAGGCAGAGGAGATGTGAATGAAAAGATATTCAGTGCAAAGTTACTCTATGCCACCATGTAAATCAAAACCTAGTAGGTATAATGTTCACAGGTCTTAAATAATCTATAATGGACTGATTTTCCTTCATAGGATGAAAATGCTTTCTATAGTCTATCATTTAGGACAGTTTATAAATACTACAAAAATACTGTTATCTTCCATGTGACCAAATCACCCCTGAATTTCTTAAAAAGAACTGGAATTTTATTTAGAATAAAAATGCTATTCCAACATCAATGGAGGAAATAAATATTTAACCTGATGCAGTCACACTACTTTTTCACAGGTACTCCAAACTATGAAATCTTTAAAGCATTTTTATAACTTAAAATTTTGATTAAATTGTTTAAGTTTCTTACACAAATTATGTTAAGTAAGGGCTTTTGTAAAATCATTACTCAGGAAAACTTCTATTATGTTTGTGTGTGGAATACATAGCGAATTAAACTACCATTTGTATGTAGCAGTACACCTAAAATACACCCTCTGCCAAGTTCTGGCTCTACAGTACACACAGGTATTTCAAGTGTGCAAAATCATTTACAGTTCATCACAACTAAAAGGTCAGTTGGTCTTACATAGGTTTCAAATTCAGTTTTAAAATACATATAGAGGTGGGGTTATTTTTAGAAAAGAATTAGGTATCTGTCAACCATGTGGTGCTCTAAATGCTCATACAAATTACATGGTTATATGTCCAAGGGCCGAGCTTCCTTGCATCAAATGAATATTTATCATAATCTTTTCTTCAAAAAATCTTTAAAAATAAAAAAGAAACCTCAAAAATAGAGAAAAACAGTAGTATCATAAAATAATTTAAGTGAAGGACTTCAGGCATTTCCTTTAGACCCAATGAGTGCATACGGTGACAGTAAGTATACAACTACTGGAACTTAAAAAATATATAGCATTTCGGTTTGCTGACATTGCATTTTGAATACAAACAGTGAGAGAACTAAGATAAATATAACTATACATGAGCCATGCATGGAATGTGTCATCATTTTCCAAATACAATAAAAACTTCTCTAAAGTTTCCAACTATCTGAAGGCACTTAGAGTATTAAGTAAGCCAATAATTAGTGTTAAAACAAAATTATAAGAAATCTCCAAAAAGGAGGCATACACAGAAGAAAATTTAACAGTAGAAAAATTACTTTAAAATACTCTGCTAGAACTATTTTAGACATTAGCAGTATGAATTTAGCTTGAAATTATTCATGGGATTACCTACTTCTTTAAATCTAAAGTGACTTCCCCCCTCTCTAAATTCCCCATCCCTAGGAGACTTACTCTGATGCAGGAAGGGAGGTTTACCTGCTTGTGTCGGGGACACTTGCCAAGGAGTCAAGGAATACTATCTTCATGGATAATCACTGAGATTGGGTTCTATTCTGATCACTGAATGACTACTAATAATGTATCCATTAGCTGAAAGTCTTCAAAGGCTCTTTAATTATGCATGATATTGAATAAATGGCATCAATGTAGTTGCATAGGCATTTTATTTCTAATATAGACAACAGCTGCATCTGGTATTTATGATCAGTATTCAAAGTAACCTTGTAAAGCAGAGTCTTTCATCACAAAAATTTATAGAAGACATACAACTACAGTGTAAATTCGTCACGTTTTCCCACTAATATTAAGAGTCGTTGAACAGTTTAATTAGTAGGTAATAAATGTGTCATAACAGAAAATTTTGAAAAAGTTCTTTCCTACCATATTTGGGATTCCTATCTTGTGATAAAAACTTAAAAAAACAACACAATGTCAATAAACCGAAAATTTAACTCCTCAATAAGCATAAATAATTTATAAAAGGGCCCAAGGGCGTGTAAGGACACAAATTACAAATGCCAAAAAGGAGAAAAATGAAGACTTCTTTTTCCAGTCACAGGTTAGTCAAAAGGGATACCCAAATAGCTGGATGGCATATACCACAGAACTTCAGGAGACAGTTCACCTTCCAATAATAGATTCTAGCAGCAAATGACAAAAGTTAAAGGATCCATTTTGGCAAGAGAATGTAAGAATAAGAGGGAATTGTTTTTCTAATTTATATATAAAAAAGATCCAACTATATGAAAGTTCTCTTCACAGTCCTGGCTTTGTTGATTTTAGCTAAGTACATGACATGTATACCCTCATGATTATACAGTGGCTCAAGTATTTTATTGTAAAGAAAAATGGAAACTAATCTTCAGTTTTCTCCAAAAGTACACAGGAGGCATGTGTTCCTTTACTTCTCTCATTAAAGCACCATCCATTCAATTCATTTTGCAATACCAACCCAAAATTTCAGAACAATTAAAAGGTAAAATTGAGCAAAAGTTATTACTGAAAAATAGTTAAAGCAACATAAAAATTTAACACCTCCCCAAATTGACTAATTTATGATTTAGTAGGAATAAATCATAATATATAATAATAGATTTAATAAGTTAAAACGCAGAGGAAAAACAAAACAAAAAACCCAATCCTTAAATCTGTCAATTATTAAAATGAATTTAGAAAAGGAAAACAAATGGTATGCAGGTAAACAGTTACATTTTTCCATCAGGTGTGGTGTTGCAAATTTTATGGACACCCAACGTATTTCTTATAAACAAGAACTGCAGGACTAAACTAACCTCGGTCTGCGGTCACAATCCTTTGGTAAGGATGGACACGCATATCGTGCCTTCGAACTTTAGTGGCCACCGCACCTAGTTAAATTGCAATCACCAAGACAAAGTTAGAAAACAGCATTAACAGCAGGTTCATCAAAATGGATTTCAAATGTTCATTTACTACAAAAGTTTGTTTTAAAAAACATGTTAAGGCACAGTAGTTTTAAAATTAACTGTAATATGTCACGTAGATATGCATCTATTAATGTTGCATTCATTTCAAACGTGTTGGCCTTAACCTACTTATCCAATCACTGGCAGTCCCCGAGTTAAAGAACTTCACGAGCTCTAGCAACCCAAACATTTTTGAGCTTTACTAGTCACATATTCACTGAAGTGCCTTTCTTGCAGCAGGACTCCTTAAATAATGCCAAGTTTAATACTGACAATTATGTGCTAACCTTAAGACCACTTCCAGAGTTTATCACTTAAAAGGTTTTAAAAGCAATTCTTAAAGCCTACAGATTGTGGTTTTAAACTTTGAGTCAATAAGTATGAACTGCAATGAATTAGGTGATTAGTAAAGCAAACAGTATAGTACACTTAGCAGTCAGTATACTACTATACACTCCTTTATAAATTACCATTACTTTGTAATATTACAGAGGAAACCAAATTAATAACATAATTTTACTTTATATCTATGTGCAAAAAGTGCAAGTAAGTCACTGACTGCTAGGCTAAGCTTTTTCCCCCGGAGGCTGCTGAGACTAAGCATTTGTTAAATTCAGATCTGATGAGAGTTCGGTTAAGACCGTTCTTGAATTCTTAGCCTTTCGTTGGGAAAGCCATACCTAAAGATAAAAGGAAGGGAATTAAAAATTAGTCATCAATGAAGATTTGATGCTAACACCAATCTCCTCACCACCACCAACACACATGTCTGCATCTGTTTTGAAGGGCACTGCTTATTTTTAAATAATTTAGTGTGAGATTTAATACATAGCATGCATGTTATCTGTGTGCAAACTTACTGTAACTTGGCAATTTTAAGTAATTTCCTCAGTTCTCCAAGGGGTCAATATCATGTTTTACTGCTTAGGTGACAAAGAAAGAAATAATATTGATCATAAGAGGTTTTTTTTTTAAAATTCAGTACTCATTATTAATCACCTTATGAATGCTAATTAGGTATCCGTGCATTCTGCTCTTGAACTTTGCTTAATAATCAAATTTTTATAATTAAAAAATTCCCAACAAAATAAAAGGCATGGTTTTTGCAATGAGAAACAGATTTTACAGCAGTGCCTCTTGATGTTTCTAAGCAGTAAACTGGGTGATCACCCCTTTTATATTTTAGATAAACTAATCATATGCAAGTGTAATTCCATGTGGCAAAACCAGGGAGATCTTGCACTGAAGGTGCTGGGACAGCAGCTGGTGGCTGAGAGCCTCAGACCTGCAGCAGTCACAAGTCCTAACTCCTCAGGAACAGATGCTGTGGGTGCAGCAGAGAGGAGTTCTGGGGAAAGAGCATGCACAGGGCCATAGGACAGAGTATTAATAGAAGGGTTACAGGTTACATGTTATTTTAAAATGCTTCAGGAAATGTGCAACAGAAACAAGCCTCTAATCAACAGTTCTGTGGTATAATTCTGACCTTCAATTACTTTATACAATGATTTAGACAGAAAACATATACAATAAAATGTATTTGTTCATGAAACAAAAGGCACCTGAATGCATGCACACACACAGATAACATACAGAGCGTTGTGGCTTTAATTGAACAATGAATTTTCAAACTTAAATCTTAATGTCTGGGTTCATTAAAAATTTTCAAATTTTTATAAATCAGTATTAATGCTGGGGAAAAAAACTTTAGAAGATCAAAGTCCTAAAGTCAACAGAATGCATGCAGCACCAAGGTCATGTACAATTGTGTCTGGTAAAACAAAGGGGTTGCTCGGAAACAGTTTGTCCCACATTGACTGGTCGTGCTCTAACAGCTGCTGTATTCTAGTCCTTCATCCAGCAAGTCAATGGGCTGAAATATCAGGCATGACTGGCATTTCAATCCACTCTATAAGAAAAAGGCATCAGTAATGTCTTTCTCAAGCACACACTCTTTGTCCATGTAATACCAAGTGTTTATAGTGTGATGTAATTTTTGCCTCCAGTGTGAGCCTCAACTTAGTAACTTGGAATTTACTCATCTATTCCACACTGTACTACTAAAAACAGAAGAATCAGTCATATTTAATGTTAACTAGGACTTCAAAAGACAAGAACTGAAAACCTTTTAAAACTGTAACCATTAATCTGGTTTCACTAAATATTTAAAAATATAGCAATATAAATGTTATAAAAAATCTCAATATAAAAAAATCTCAAAATAATTTCACACAGAGCTTTAAATTTTAGCTGGCAATTAAATAAATCTGTAAGACAAGAGAAATCTAACTTTGGGAGGTGGAGCTGATAGAGATAATAAGACAATGGGTATAGGACCTAAATAAAATGACAATCTCAGTAATAGCAAATGTGCAAAGTATTTTCTGCTTAAAATGTATAAATTAACCTGATCAAAGAGAATCTGAGTAACTGAGGTGAATCTGCACACAAACAGAAGGTATAGCTATTTAACGGGGGAACCCTTGTGAGGAGCTGAAATAAAATAAAATTTAGTTTTCAGTCTTTTCTAATGGAGACTTCTCTTGCCTCTCTAAAACTGAAAAAAAAAAAATCATTTCAATGTCTGGGCAGCAAAATGTACAATGTGCTAAGACCTAGGGAGAAGCACTTACCTAGTACACCACTGGGCTCAATAGGATACTCAAGGATTGACGTAGCCGGGGCCAGCGTGTAGGGATACTCATAGGGCGTGTAGATCAGCCCTGCCTCGGGCCCTGGAGGGACTATTGCAGCAGTTGGGTGAGGAGTTCCGTTTGGCATGACAGCGGTCTGTATTTGTCTGATCAAAGGCATTATGGTAGGGCCAGCTGGCGTAGGCGTACGCAGGGCAGCTGGTGGGAGAACAGGAGCAGGCCCAGTAATGATCCTTGGAGCAGCCTGGGCTGTTGCTGCAAGAGAAAAGGCAAGGGCTGCTACAGTAAGCAAAGAAATTTAGAAAGAAGTATGGGGACAGGAGTATAACATGGGGAAATGAGAGGGGAGTAGGAAAAAGAGGAAAAAGCAGGAAAGAAGAAAAATAAAAGGAAATCATTAGTACATGCACTGCCCACACAAAAGTGCCAAAGCACACCAATCAAATGCAATCAGCTCTCCCTTTCCCAATGTGATTAAGAATACTCAAAAATTAAAAAGCCACTGTAAAAAAATGAGACCATTAAGAGGTTATATTTAGTTCCTATATCTGGTATATCTGTTTTAAAGATTTCATGAGACTGAAAGTGCATGCAGAAGCACAAGAAAGCACTTGATTAAAAAATGTTACAAAAAAAAAATTGTAGAGTCCACAGAAACACAGCTTTGGTACATTTCTAAAGTGTAGCTTCAGTTTCTAGTTGAAGCAAACATTTTCCATCATACTAAGTCAGGCAGGTAACCACTAGGTGCATATATAAATTTCCTGTATCTTTAGGAATCACTTCATAAAGAAAACAACAAAAATGCCCTATTTTTAGGTTTATGGCTATTAATGAAATTCTTACATTCTCATGAGTAAACTAAAGTCAACCACTTAAAAAGTAGCTACTTCTGAACTCACCAGGTTGCCTACATTTTGCAAAGTTGGCTAGAACTTTGTTTCTTTAAAAAGTACTAATTTAAATATATTATTACCTTTATACAAATGACATGTGCAAACCTTAGGGTTGTCTCAAAATACAAATTTCGTATCAGTTCATTTTAAAATAGAAAGTTACCCTCATACCTTCAAAAAACATTCACAGACCCATAAAAAGGAAAAATCAAGACTAAAATAGTTATCATCCACTACTGATCTCTGTGAACTCACATCTGAGCTCCATAGCAAGAAAAACTAGAGGGGAAACATGCAAGCCAGAGGAAAGGAAAGAACTCAACAGAGGGGTCATTTCATTCAGTTATGCTTTAAATTAGCTTTCAAAAAAAAAAAACTTTCAAAATTTTGTCTTTTGCAAAATGTAATAAAATAAGCTTGAAAACTTAAACCAATAGTGAACAGAATGGGACATTTCTTGAAATCCTTGAATTTAAAGGTCAAAATTTCATCAGAAAAATAAGAATTTACAAATCCAACACTTAAGATATGCTGGTACACAATAAAGTCAAGAGGGTTGTGATTCATGAAAGCATCAAAAATAGGACTGCCAGTCCCATACTGACATCATTACTTCAACTCTTCAGTCTAACTGTCATGTGGTAGGCTGCCAGAAGGACAAAGGTCTGCAGACAAAACAGCTGAGACAGCTGTAACCCTGGGCCTCAGTCTCGTTCTTACGTGATTTTATGTTGGCATCTCTGTAGGTGCCATTCAGAATTGCGAGCTCCATCAGCTGCATCTTCTTCAGGCTGTCTTCTCCTTCTGCCTACACATGGGAAACACAAGAGCAGTAAGCATTTGAGACTGCCACATGCATCTACATCTACAGACCCTGTGACTGCATCCACCTGCTCCAATCAGGAACATTAAGCTCAGAAACCAAAATGTTCTAATACTCCGAACCCTATTTTCTCAGCGACAGCACATTGCTTCATTTCTACTTGAATTGTCTTAAAAAAAGTAAACTATACTTAAAAAGTTCTAAAAAGCTTTGATTTTAAATTGAAATTAATGAAAATGTCATGAATATTCCAAAACTGAGGTTGTTCATTAAAAGGAATACATGTACACACATACATATTTTAAAAATCCAAAATCTGATTATGGTATTCAGCTAAAAGAATCTTATTCTTAATTCTACAAAAGGAAAATTTAATGAAATTATAATAACCATGAAAATTTGTTATGCCACCAATTCTGTCCTCTCTCAGTTGAATTAGCAAGTGCTACTGATTCTATGGCACTCTCTCTAGGGTCACCATATGATTTACTGGTCTAAACAAGGAACCATTTAAAAGAGAAAATAGGCCCTTGTAATAACTATGCTACAAAGACAGACATAAACCAGACTCATCTCTGATCATGAAAATGTCCAGCCACCCATTTCCATGGATTCATTCCACTCTTCCATTGACGATCATCATCCATGTTGTAGTCATTATTGACAATACTACCCACACAACTGAAAACACCTGTTAAAGACGCCCTTCACTCAATCTCTACCCAACCTACATGCCCAAGGGTTAAGATTAAATTGCCCAGAACAAAACTTTCAGTGTTTCTCAACATTCTCATGCCTCAGACCCTTTCATGATTTCTTACCATCTAAAAATGTGAAAGATGTAAGGTATCTAGAGCTGGCTGAGTAGCTCAAGTGGTAGAGTGCCTGCCTAGCAAGCATGAGGCCTTGAGTTCAAACTCTAGTACCCAGTACTGTGTTCCATCCCCCAAAATAACCCAACCCCCCAAAAAACCTAAGATATCTATGATCTGGCCCAAAACTATCACTTCAAATTGAACCAGTACTTTTACTATTTTACATACATAACCTAACATTATATGGGAATATAACACCAGGTCACAACCCCTTTCTTGTCTTTGCATTTTTCCTATTTCCTCTATTGCAAATCCTCTCTGCACTTCATTCTATCCTTTCTTCTTCCCAAATCCTACCTATCCCCATACACTTTAACCAAACTACTACAGTCTTCAGGGGCCATTCCTAGATTATGTGATTTTCCTATAGTTTGTTCTAGGGTTTGAATTCAAGGCCTCACACTTGCTAGGCAAGTGCTCTACCACTTGAGCCATGCATCCCAGCAAAGTAGAGACTATTTCTTATTTCTTACTGCCTAGCACCCAGATACCCTTCCCCACGTTATTTGTGGGACTTACTTTTTAAATGATGGGTATGGGAAATATAACCTTATTTCAAATCCCAATGTTTAACTCCTACAGAATAAACTTTAACTTGCCACAGTAAAAGGAAACAATGGATGAAGGTCTACGGAAAAGTCTGACCCTGAGAAGATGGTGTTAGGGTTAGAACGAAATGTCTGTCCAATTTAATGCATTAACTAGTCCTCAGGCTTTAATATTTAGATAAAAAGTGACTCAATGACTTCTCTGATATAATTTTGTCTCTGATTCAAGAAAAGAGCAGAACTAGGAAAAATGCAGTTCCCCATTTATATTGCAACTGTAATAACACAAAGATCTTTGGCATAAGAACAAGGGATGGTGGACTATAATGTCAGAAATGTTGAGTGGGCATTTAATAAGTTACAAAGAATTAAAGAAAAAGATAAATGTTATTTTCATGATGTTTTCACTTAATATGCCACTGCCAACTTTTAAAAAGTACATTTTGCTTTGCAGTAGTGTATAGGAAGAAGATATTTGTGTACTTATGGGATTATTATTCCTTGACCTCTATCAACCGGCACAAAGGAAATTGAAAAAAATAATTTTTGAAAGACACAGAAATAACTGGTTAAAAATGAAGTTGTGTAAACTTATTGAAAGGGAAGAATTCAAAATCTATAAGCAAGCTTCTCAAGTTTGTCACGAAAAATTAAAATTTACTGAGAGTTGGTTCAGATTTAAGCCTATATATAATACTAGAAGAATGCCAGATGTATCACATATTATTTTGTAAACGTATTTGTACAAAAAGAGGAGGATCAAGGTGCCCCCAGCCAGGTGAGGAGGAAGCAGTGCAGGCTTGAAGTATCACAGCAAATGGGAGGGCAGGTGTGCATCTGCCAGAACCAGAAATAAAGATGAGACTTCTGCAGAGAGCACATGCTCTAGAGTCTACTAGCCACACTTCAGACTTTTCTCAAAGGTAGTAATTGGTCAAATATGGCATCCTGGAGTTCTATATCTGATCTCTCTATATATAGACATTCTATAAGGTATTTTACAGAACCTCCATCAGGGACCAGCATATCTATGTCAGACACAACAGGCTTTTAAATTTGTAACAAAGGGAAACAGTCTTAATTCAGCAATTAGCATAAAGTCATAAAAGCCACATTTTACATGCTTAATTTAAGTGATTAGCTGCTATCTCATAGCTTTTCATTTCTTAAGTGTTTACCCAATATTTTAAATCAGTAAAGAAACTCAGGTGTAATTTAAAGGCAGGGAAGCTCCCAGGTTTAAATGGATTTGATGAATGCACATCAAGACAGAACATTTCCACCAACCAAATCCCCCTGTACCTCAAGCACCAACCATTCATCCCATGTCTCTTTTCCCAGTTCAGTTCGCCTATTCTAGAACTTCAGAGAACCAAATCAAATATAATTTTTGTGCCCAGTTTCTTTTTCTCAGCACAGTAATTTATGACACTCATCCACTTTGTGTGTAGCAGCAGTTCATTTGTTTTAATGGCTTAGGAGTATTCTGCCTACTGATTCTTCTGCTACAGACACCGGGTTCTGTCCAGTTTGGGAATACTCTGAATAAAGCCAGTATGAAAATTCTCGTACAAGGCTTTTTTGTGAATGTTAAGTTTTCATTTATCCTGTAAACACCTAGAAGGGGAGCTGCCGAGTCTCAGGGCAGATTAGCTGTATGGGAATATTATGTAAAAGCTTCAAACAATATTAAAATAGCACCACCTTCATTTTTGAAACTTGAGTTTCAAAAATATAACAAACACTTGTTAATGGATAAAATCTGTGATGTCACAGAAGTGCCTTGAGATTTCAGTTTTTGATTTGCAGAAATAAATATACCATGTATGATACAACATCATGAGTGGGGCCAGGGAAACACATTTACAATCCAGTTTGTAACAGACAGAATAATACAAAAGTGAGACAAAGCCATACTTGTAAGCATACTTTTCTTAACTTTCTGGGGTTTGCAATTATGAATGGCAGATTTATGGATGTATATAAAATCTTCACCATTCAAGTATGTATGCTTTATAACAAAGCTAAGTTACTAGTACTATATTATCCTTAAGCTTATCCAAAGTTACAGAATGTCAAAATGCAAAACTAGCTCCCAGAGTCACATGATTCAAAGTCCTCGGGTTACCTTTGCTGAGACTGTAAATGCCTTATGTGGAGCATCCTGTGAATTCATCAGAGACCTCACATTAGAAATGATGAAAACTGCGTTTATTTTGTATTTTAAAATCTATAAAGTATACCCAAAAAAACTACAATGTAATTACCATAGAGAGCTGGAATAATGGGTATTTCTAAATCATTAAAATTGTTTCAATGAAAAAAATTAACTCATTGCTTATGAGAAGTCCAAACTACCGCCTAGCACCGGAGAGACTTCATGAAATTTACACAGTAGCCTTATTTGCAGTGCTTTACCTGAGTCAAAATCATCTGTCCATGGCCCTTTAGAGTACTTTTCTGACTCCAAGTTAAACTCTTCTCTAGAAGTTTCTCATATGTACCATCTTTCAAAAGTCCTAATGATACTCCTCTTTCAGAGAGTAGCCTTCTCTAATGACACCATATAAAATGAGAACACTTTTGACCATACTGTTTATTTGACAATCAATTATACAAAGATATGTGCTGTCTCTTCTTTTTTTTTTTTTTCATTTTTACTTTTCCATAACCTTGAAATAGGTAAATAATGGTTTTCCAAACACCAAAAACATGTAACTAATTTACTTGGGGGAATAAAAGATGGGAAAAAAATGGAGAAAAAGAACAGGAACCAAATTTTCTAAAGAATTTTAATACTGATCAACCCTTTCATCTGTCTTGCCAGCATTGGCAGACAAGACTATCAAAGAACTTAACCAATGTCTACTTAAATAAAGGGTTTTAAAGGGTGTGTGTCATAACAGAGTTTGTCTTAAAGGATCATCCTGCTAATTAGTGCATGGATGGGTAGAGGCCCCAATATGATTAATAAAACTGGTCACAAGTTTTGACATAGTCCAGGAATCACACATGATGAACTGTCCTTGGGGGAAATAAGAACAAAAATGGGAAAGTAAGTTAACCTGACAGAGCTTGATGACCAGCTGGATGTAGGGGGTTAGGGAAGAAGAGAAACTGAAGAATGATGTTCAGGTTTTTGGTTTTTTTTTTTGGTGGCACTGGGTCTTGAACTCAGGTCCTTATGCTTGCTAGGCAGGCACTCTACTGCTTGAGCCACTCTGCCAGCGGTGTTCAGGTTTTTAGATTAAGAAATAAACAGATGATGGTTCCAGTTAATGAGATGACAAAAGCTGAAGGATGTGGAATCAAAAGCTCTACTGTGAAAGGTTAAGTTTGGAAAGCTTATTTTAAACACCAAAGTGGAGAAGTCAGGCGAATATGAATCTTAGGTTGACTTACTCCAACTAATTTTATAAAGCTAAGAGAAGAATTGTTTTCCCATTTCAGATTTTTTTACTCTGAAATGATGTAGCAATTACTAAGGTTCAAATTAATCTCCCATATGCAGATTTCAAATGCTTGGTCTAGCATTTGACCAATACTTGCTGCACAAGTATTT